CTGAACCTATGGAGGGTCAGCTATGAGTTGATTCCACCTTGACAGCACATAACAACAAAATGTAATTCAGCACTCTCTCTTCTAGCTACATCCCTTTTGTCACTCCTTACCTTCTTTTAAGAAGTTAAGATGCAGAGTCATCATTTCATTTTTCAGTTCCTTGAGTAGAACATAGTCAAAATACTGACGGCAATTTTGTTCCCTAGCAATTTATTCAGTAGTTTGGATTATGGAATTATGAAACTAAAACCTTGAAATGAAATGGTATGCTCATTCCAATTCAATATTATCCTCATTGTTATTTTTCCCTCCATCCTTAGGAGTGAAACTTTGCATTCTTGATGTTAAGTGGGTTTTTTTTAATTTTTTTTTTTATTAAAGTGACTTTTGTGCTCGCTTTGGCAGCACATATACTAAAATTGGAACAATACAGAGAAGATTAGCATGTCCCCTGAGCAAGGATGACACGCAAATTCGTGAAGCATTCCATGTTTTTTTTAAGTGACTTTTATGATTTTTTTTGGATAGAGAGAATGATGAAAAGACTAAACAATTACCATGTCAACTTCTTTACATAAAGTAGTGTTTCTCTGTCGTGTGTTCTTCATGCTCTGACAGTTTATCTCAAATGCATGCTGTGATTAGCAGGGCTTCAGTGTGTTTAGTAACTTGGAAAAGACAAAGAGTCTTAGAATAGGTTGGTGTTAAATATTAAAATAGTAACAGCAGTTGTTTAGTGTCATTTCCCCAAAACACTTAAATCACTTTTTCTTGTCTTCTGTGTCTTAACAAAGCCTGTACAAATAGAATTGTTCTAAAAAATACAAGTTGAGAGTCTGTTATTAACTGATTGGTCATTTAGTCCGTTCTTCCTCCCAAGTCAGCACCCCAGCCGCTGGATGCATTCAGAATACTCTGATTTCTGTGTAGTGAAAAACCGTTCCACATACAGGTAGCACTGGCCCAGCCATTCTGAGGAGCAGGGACTCTCCTGTTGGTGTATGGCAAGATTAGTCGGTACTCACATGTCAGCAGTTGTCAACAATTGCATTTTACTTGGATCCACAATTAACACCCATTTCCTGACAATAGTCAAGAATAAAAAATTGTGTTGCATTGAGAAAATCTAAAGAGAGCTCTGGTGGCCTAGTGGCAAGATGCTGCACTGCAATCCCAGAGGTACGTGGTTCAAATTCACCAGATGCTCTGCTGGAGAAGGAGGGGGCAATCTCCTCCTGTACCAGTCAGATCTGATTTGACGGTACACATAAAAAAATAATACAATTAAAAAAGAGAAAATCTACTGTTAAACTCTCCAAAGTGCTAGGGAGCAAGGAGGTAAGTTTAAAGACTAAGGTGCCCCGTAGTCTATGCATACTTCCTATGCCTATGAGATTTGTCAGTGAATAAGGATGATAGAAGAAGAATTGAAGCCTTTGAATTGTGATGTTGGTGGAGAAAAAAAAATATATTGAATATATATAAAAATACATCAGATATCCTGTGAACTACCAAACAAAGAAACATGTCTATCTTGGAAAGGATGCCACCAGACTGTTTCTTGGAGGCCAAGAATGGTGAAACCTCTTCTCACATACTCTATGCATGTTGTGTGGAGGGGCCAGTCCTTGGACAGAAATGGCATGTTGGGAAAAGTGGAGGGTCAGAGAGAGGCAGACCCTCAACAAGATGGATTGGCACAGTGACTGTAATGGGTTAGAGCATATCAGAGCTTGTGAAGATGTTGTAGGATAGGACAAGGTTCAGATCTGTTGTTCCTAGGGTTGCTATGAATAGTAGTCAACTCACTGGTACCTAACAACAACATTTCAGCTGTAGTAGGTCATTCTTTTTCAGTGGGGGCACAGTGAGATGTGAATACATTCCATCCTCCCAAAGAAAGGAAGAGTACTAGTTCAACCAGCCTTTCAACTAAGAATCTGTTCTTTCCTAAAGGCAGTATTTAGAAACACTATTAGACCTTCAACCTTAAGGGGTGGGGTGGGTGTGTGTGTGTGTGTAGTTATTGTGTGCTGTCAAGTTGGAACTGACCTATAACTGACCCTCTAACAGATTTTCAAAGGCATTAAATCACATGGGAGGATATTGCCCATCCTTCTACCCCAGAGCAGTTGGTATATTCAAACCTTATCCCTCTGAGGTTGCAGTATAGTCAGTCACCAGAGCTCCATATGTATAGATATATCTCAGTAGTGTATCAGAAGGATTACAACTACCTTTATTTTTGTTGACCACATTAATAAAAATTAAAATAGAAAAGTGAAGCATATATTGTTGTTAGGCACCTTCCAGTTGGTTCTAAAGCATGGTGATCCTGGATAAAACAGAATTCATCTCCACTCAGTCCTCTGCCAGTCTCACAATCTCTGCTGTGCTTCAGCCCATTATTGCAGTCACTGTCTGAATCTATCTCATTGAGAATCTCCGCTACTGGTCCTCCCCTTTCCCAGGATAATACCCCTTCTAAGGACAACATGCCTAAACTACATGAGATGAAGTGCTCTAAGGAGCACCCTGGCTGTACTCCTTCCAAGACAGATTTGTTTGTTCTTTTGGCAGTCCATTCAATACCCTTCCCCACTACCACAATTTAAAGGCATCAAGTCTACTTACTGGCACCTAACAACAAAAACAATGTTTTTCAAACTTGTGTACCAAGAAGTTTCACAAGGATATTTTGATAAAGAAAAAATAATTGGGATTAAATTTGACTAAAACCATAGGACATTTTAACAGTATTATCCAATATTAAATATTTAATAATATTTAAAACCATTTTTTGTTTGAATAATATATTTACACTGTAAATAAGTTTATAAAATAAAAAATTCTCCAAAGATAATTCTTAATGTTTTAGTATGCACTAGTCCTACTACTGAACTAGTAGTAAGAATGGCACAGGACCAAGTAGAGTTTAATTCTGTGTACACAGGGTCACTATGCATTAGAACCAATTCCCGGTTCAGCAATTTTATACACAACCTTGCTTGCTGAAAATGAGGAGGACCTGAAGCACTTGCTGCAGAATGTCAAGGACTGAATCCTTCAGTATGGATTGAAGCTCAACATCAAGAAAACAAAGATTCTAACCACTGGGCCCATTGGCAACATCATTATAGATGGTAAAGAGATTGAGATTGTTAACAGCTTCAGTTTGCTGTCTCCACAATCAACACTCGAACCAGCAGCGAGAAAATCAAGAGGTGAATTGTACTGGGAAAGTCTGCTGTCAGGGACTTCTCCAGAGTACTGAAGAGCAACAATGTCAGTCTGGAGACTAAGGTGTGCCTGATCCAGGCCATGGTCTTCACAGTTACATGCTATGCATCAGAAAAGCTGGACAATAACTAGTGATGATAGAAGGATAATTGATGCCTTTTAGCTGTGATGCTGGATAAGAGTATTGAGATACCATGAACTGCTAGGAGAACAAACAAGTTCATCCTGGAGAGGGTGAAACTCAGAAAATCAAGCCACAAGGTATTTTATTATATATAGGACTGTCCATAACTGTGCCCCCTCTATTCTTTATTTGAATATACATGCAGAACACACAAACACAAGCTTTCAAATATCTATATCTATATCTCCTGTCTGTACAAAGTGAAATTGCTACATGGGGATGACTGTGTCTGACCTTTACCAGCTTTACAAAGGGGAACTGTACCCATCAACACGATCAATGGCGCAAAACCAATTCCCATGAAGTCATTCATATCCCCCATTCTCCCATACTTCTTTTTATGCATCTCAGCACCAATTTACTGCTTTACAGGATCCAGAATCTTCTGTGATAGTACACAAACCACATCAAACCATGTTGTTGTTATTGTTATGTGCCGTTGAGTCACTTTTGACTCAAAACAATCCTGTGTACAACAGCCCTAAACCCTGCTCTATCCTTTGCCAATCTTATTGTCCCCATTACTTCAGTGGTGGAATCAACCCATCTCATCAAGGGTCTTCCTCTCCTCCGCTGTCCCTCCACCCTCCAAAGCATGACATCCCGCTCCAAGAACTGATTCTGTCAAACTATGTTAGGGAAGTAAAAAGTTATAATCCAGGTTAGTAGCAGAATAGAGCCAGGATAGCTCCTGAAATGTACTCAAGGCGTTAGGCCAGTGTTACAAAGTTCCCTGCAAATTATGGCCCCAACCTGCAGTTGTCCAATAGACTTGGGCAAAGACTCTTAGCTCCAGTTCCAATGATGTAGCAGGCTCAAGGTCCCATCTTGGTTCTCTATCTCAGGTCAGTTTCTCTGCTTTGTCTACTATGGCTGGTGGTCCTGTAGGCCCTCTTGCTTATTCTTTTCCTGGTGGCGCAGTTTCTTTGCCAGTAACAGGGAGGACTCATCCTGCTGCTACTGGATTGCTCAGTTCAATGGTTAGATTAACCTGTCCCCTTGTGGGTAGGCTAATACACCCCATTCACATATTCTCACCCATCTACATGGCAAGGTCAAGCTAAGGCTAGGAAAGTCATGTTGAAAGATAAACTCCACATATCCATATACTCATGGGCCTTCCTATTGTTATAGAACAATGTAATTTATCATGACTGCATGCTGTGGTATTATGTTTAGTCCATCTCCTTTCTTGGGCATTTTGGTGGTGGTTCAGGTTTGTCCTCAATAAATGTACTGATCATCTTTGCAGATTTTTTCTTACTTAGTATTAACTTTTAGAAGTAAATTGTTGGATCACAGAATTTGCATTTTTGAGGCTTGATCATAATTGCCAAATTATGGTCTCGATAGGTTGTAAGACTTCACATTTTCTGTGATCTGGATAGTGCGTATTTTCCACTACCAATCAGATAAAATTATCTTAATTTGCATTCATTGTTCATGAAGCAGAACATTTTTCATGCTTATTGCCTGTTGTGGGTTTTGATCTCACAAACAAGCAGTTCACAGTTTTAACTGCCAACACTTTTCCCCCATTCAATCATTTCAGCAGTGTCTTCTGTTTTCTTTCCAGGATCGGCTAAAGCTGGTGACTGTTTTGGGTGCTGGTCTTCTCTGTGGAACTGCACTGGCAGTCATCGTGCCTGAAGGAGTACATGCACTTTATGAAGATGTTCTTGAGGGTGAGACAGAAATGACCTTATATTATATATGATACTCACTTGGAGGTTTGGAAGGAGAAGCTTAGTAGCATTTTTTGTGAATATGGTTCATGCTTGCTGTAGAATTCTACATTGGGTTGAGTTTTTTGTTTTGGGTGAGTTTTTTAAAATTTCTGGTTTGCTTACAAAGTTTGTATGCACTGTGTTTCACACTATTCTTCATTCACATTGTGAATGAATCCCATTCATTATGTTTTATAAAAGTAATCACCATTGGATTATGCCCACCATTACTTTTCTCTTTGCAAAGTAGTTACCCTTATTTACAGACTGATATGTATGTTCCCTACTTTTAGACTCATGTTACTATGTGTATGTCTACGTCTCAGTTGGTTTCTCAGTGTGGTTTTCATGTATGTTCATTTTGGATTTGTTTGGATCTCTGAAGAATTTAATTTCTTGTAAAATTGGTCTATTTTTCTCAAATTCCCTTACATTATATTGATCTGGAAATGGCTTCATTTCACTGCCATATCAGAGAGACAGTTTTGCTGGGTGTGGAATTCTTCGTTCACAATTTTTTTTCTTTCAGAGCTTTATATATGTCATCCTATTGCCTTCTTGCCTGCATGATATCTGCTGATCAACAGAACTCAGTCTTACTTGTTGGCTTTTCCCTAGCTTTCAGTATTTTTTCTTTGTTTTTAATTTTTAAAAAATTTTATATGATTTTTCTTTTAGGATCTATCCATTTGGGATTTGCTAACATTCATGAATGTATACTTTCTCATATTTGGGACCTTTTCTTCTGGCCAACCTTTAACAATTTTTTCTGTGCTTTTTTTTTCCTTCTTCTTCATGTTGTGGAGTGCCAGTCACAATGTGTTATTCCTCTTGATATTGTCCCACATGATTCTTATGTTTTCTTCATTTTCCTTCTTTTTTTCTTATTATTCCTCTAACATTGAGGCATTTAATATTGAAGATTTGTTTTCCATCTCAGTAATTCTGTGTTCCATTTCTTAAATTCTCTTTTTTTTGTCCTTCCAACATTGTTTCAGAAAATTTCTGAAGTCTTAATGTTCTAAATTTCAATTTGCTGGGCTTGTGTAGCTTCTGATTTTCCACTTATTTTCTTTTTTGATCTTGTGTTTTCTTTTTTAAGTCTTCTATGTTTAATGTGGGTTTAAAAAATTTTTTTCTCGATCCATTGAAGGTGCTCAACCATCAGTTTTTCTAATCCTTATGATAAAGTTCCAATAGTATTTTCTCCTCTAAGGAATTTTCTGTTTCTGAATTTTAGTCACTTTTCTTATTCCAGTCTGTACTATCCTTTTGAGTGATTTAAAGATACATATTGTTTCTGAGATATTTTGTTGTGTTCGTGGGGTTTTTTGATATGTGATTGAAGCATGCAAGTCTATTGTATCACCTGATAATTTGGTAATTGCTAGTGTTTCACCCTCTGTCTTCCAGTAGATGTGATAAAGGATGGTTGTGTATGTGTGCATTTCTCTGCTGTTTGGGTAGAACAATTGGGGGTAGATTTCGCCTGTATTTGTGGTAGTCTTTTGCGTAGTGGCACTGACCTTGACACTTCCCTGATGAACAAAACTGAAGGAGGTGTGTGTGGCTGGATACTGTTGCTGTCCATTATCAGATGGCATTTTCCTTTTGTCACTAAGACACTTGCGTGTGGATACTGTTGCATTCTGGATTCCCCTGCCAATAAGACTACTTTTCAGAGTGACCAGGCAGAACTTATGGTTCTGTACTCTTTATTTGCGTTTTCATTTAGTTTCCATTGGTCAGTGTTTTAACTACTTCCTTATCGTTTCCTTTCAAACTTAGGGTTCTAGAATTATCGTCTAATCTGTTATCTTTGCCTCATATTGGTTTCGTTGAAGAGAGTCTGGGCTGCTATATGTCTAGTCTGTCATCTAACTCAGTTGAGAATATGTGTTTCTTTTCCTTTCAAGTTGTTGCTACCATTGAGTCAATTTCAACTCATGAAAACCTTATATATAACAGATGAAAAAACCTTGCCAGCCCATGTGCTTTTCTTACAATCTCTACTGTGTCTAAGGCCATTGTTCCAGTTACTATCAATCAATCATTTTATTTTAATTGATCTTATTGAGGGTCTTCCTCTCCTTTACTGACCCTTTACTTTTCCAGATATGTCATTTTCCAAGGACTAGCTCCTCCTGACATACCTAAAATATGTGACAAAAAGTCTCACAGTCTTTCCTTGTAAGGAGAATTCAGGCTGTGTTTCTTCCAACACAAGTTTGTTTCTTGTTTTGGCAATTGTTGTTAGGTGGCATCAAGACAACTACAGTTCATAGTGACTTTGTGAACAACAGATCTGAACCTAATACTGTCCTCTACCACCCTTACAATCTCAGTTATGCTCCAGTTTCAGTCACTATGTCAGTACATCTTGTTGAGAGTCTTCCTCTCTTTTTCTAACTCTCCACCTTTTCCAGGATTATGTCTCTATCCAAGGACTGGTTCCTCCTGAAAAAATGTTCAAAGTAAGTGGGACAGAGTTTCACTGTTCTTGTCTCTAAGGACTGCTCTGGTTGTGTTTCCTTCAAGATAGAAATTTTGTTCATTTGGCAGTCCGTGGGTCATTCACTACTTTTCTTCAACACCACAACTCAAAGGCATCGATTCGTCTTCAGTCTTCCAATTTTCAGATGCATAGGTGGTAGTTGTGGTTGTTATGTGCCATCGAGTCACCTGTGTCCCATAGCGACCCTGTGTTCAGCAGCTCTGAACTCTGCCCTGTCCTGAGCCAGTCTCACTGATTCCAACACACCAACTCCCTTTGCCCTTGTTACTGTATCAATCTATCTCATCTCGGGTCTTCCTCTCCTTCACTGTCCCTCCACTCTTCTCAGCTTGATGTCCTTCTCCAGTGATCAGTCCCTCTTGGCCACATGCCCAAAGTGTGTGAGATGGAGCTTCAAAATTCTAGCCTCCAAGGAAAAACTTGGTTTCACCTTCTCTAAGATAGATCTATTTGTTTTCTTGGTGATCCATAGTATGTTTAAATCCTTTCCCTCTTTTCCTCGCCAATCACCCTTTCATTCTCTGGTTCCCTACGGTCTCTTTTCCCTACGGTCTTCATGCCATAAATTAATTTCTTCAGCAATATTAGCTGCCTTTTAGGAAGCTCTGCTGGTTTAGTTTACAGGGAATTTCTCTGCTAACCCGAAGGAAACCCTCTAGTAATTTGCATCAACTGTTGGTTCTGAGGGGAAAAGATGAGCAGTCTCCTCCTGTGCTGTTTACAGCTTGGGAAACCCACTGCACAATCAGCTGTGAGCCAGTTATGACTCAAGACGTTGAACATCTTTCCGTGAGGCTTGGGCTTCCTTGGGGCAAAGTGGCAATATGAAAGAGGATAGAATAACTGCTGCCCTCTCACCTGCCCAGAACCATCTTCAGATCACTGATGTGCCTTTTCCTTGAAATTGGGTTTTTCTTGAGGTTTTAGCTACCTGTATTGCTGCCATGCAGTTGTTAAACAAGAGTTGCTTTGAAGGCAGAACTGGAAAAGGAAAATGAGAGAAAATTGGAAGAAAAAAGGTACATTCCTTTATACCAACACTCTCAGCAGCCCTCTTTCCTGATTATTTGGCCAGCAGGCAAGATTTCTTTTGATATTTTTATTGTCCTCAAGCCTGTTGCTAGGTGTTGGAGAAGGTGCAGCTGGAGTGCTGTTTGGAAGCAAGGATGATGAAGCTTTGCCTCACGTACTTCGGGCATGTTACTAGGAGGGGCTGTTCCTTGGAGAGGGACATGATGGATGCTTGGAAGGATGGCAGGTCAGCAAAGAAAAGGAAGACCCTTAACCAGGTGAATTGACACAGTGACTACCGTGATGGGCTCTAGTATGTTGGGAAGTGTGAAGATGGCACAGAATAGGACAGGGTTCTGATCCACTGTTCATAGAGTCACTGTGAGTCGTACTCAGCTCGATGGCACCTAACCACAACAACAAACCTCTTGCTACTGTTTAGCTTTCATAGTCCTCAGGCAGTTCTTTTAGCTGAACTGTCTGTTTACTATCCAGGTTCTTCCCTTTTCAAAGTAAGAACTTTGAAGTAAAGGACAAATTTACATGCAGCTGGGGAATTTATTAGGAAAAGAATGTATAGCAACTTGAGTGGGAGGCCTAGAAGGCATGTGAAAACACATGCATGTCTCATCCAACAAAGGAGGAGGAACATTTTTTAAAAGGCTCTGAACCGGGGAAAGGATATATGTTTATTATAGTTGTGTCAGTTGCCATTAAGTCAATTATAACTCAGATTGACCCCATGAACACTCTGGACCTTGCCCTTTCCTATACCATCCTCACACTTTCTCCTATTGTGATAGTCACCATGTCAGTCTATCTTGTTGAGGGGTTCTTCTCTATCACTAGCCTTCTCCCTTTCTCAGCATGAACCTTATCCCCATATTTTAAGGAGAAACCAGACATCCTGCTGGGAAAGGCAGTTTGTTAGAGGGTGAGGTTATCTTTAGAAATGGAGAGATTGTTCAAGTCAATAGATACACACATGGCTGGTCTACAAGATGGCCTCTTTCCCGTTAGTTGTTGAGTCACCACAGGACATGTGCTGTAGGTTTTCTTCTTTCAAGCTGACCTCTGTCTGGTTAGGTGCGTTGTCATCAGGGAGCGTGCCCTTTCAAGATGGCTTCCCTCTAGCAGGTCACATGGGGGTTGCTTCCTCATGACATCAGCAACTAGCAGTAGTTCAGTGGAGTTTTCCTTCCTATTAATTGTAAAAGTCATCTTTGATGCAAGGTCAACTCTGACAGAGCAACCCAATGAACAGAGATCTGAACCTTACCCCATCCTGTGCCATCCTAACACCTCTACTATGCTCAAGCCTATTGCTTCATTGACACAGTGGCTGTAACAGCAGGTTTGAAAGCGCTTAACAGAGTTAAAGGTTGTTAAGAGGGAACACCTGAAGATGCATAGGCATTTGGGGTCTATTTCT